AATCTTGACTGAGGAGCTGGATGTTGTGGTGAATGCCTGTTAATTCCAGCTTCTTGAGAAGCTGAGTTAGGAGGATCATGGTTCAAAGCCAGCCCAAGCAAAAGTTAGGGAGACTATTTCAAAAACAAACTCAGCATGTTGGTATATGCCTTTAAACCCAGCTACTGAAGAGGTAGAGTTCTGAGGATGATGGCCAAAGGCCTGCCTAGGAAAAGCACAAGACCCTGTCTAGAAAACACACTAAAAAAAGACTGGGGCATGGTTCAAGTAGTATAATGCTTACCTAGTAAGTGCAAAGCCCTGAGTTCAACCCCAAATACCACAAAAAAAAAAAAAAAAACTGTATTGATCTATGCTTGCTCAGTAGAAATCTTCCTTAGGGAACAACTACGAATTCCCTTTGTCTTATTTACTTTGCTGCCTCATGTTCAGTCATTGGAACACTCATATGCTAAAGCAAAGACCTTACTTAATCTGACTCTACTTGGAAGGACTTTTTTAACAGAAAAATATTTTTCTAAAGCTTTACCATTTGAGTAGCTTCTTTTTTAGAATGCTCCTACACTACACAGCATTGCTAGCTTAAGGTTAATTACTGAAAGAATATACATAGTATATTTCTATTTTGTTTATTAATGAATTGATATATCAACCTTAATTACAAGGAACCTTGTGCTTGGAATTTTAAGATAATAAGTGGGCAGATACTTCTTGAAATTTGTTCTAATCATTTTTGCATTCCTGGGCAGAATTCCCAATCTTATTTTTCTAATGAAAACCTTTGTTGCTGTTATCATTTAAATATCATTAAACTGTCAGTATCTTTTATACCCCTCCCTTGCTCACTAGCAAGATGATGAATGCTGTACTTTGCCCTCCTGTTTTTTGTGATGTGTCTCATAGAGTGATTTTAAAATGTCAATCTGAGCAACTGGCATAAATGATTTTCATATGAAGAAGAGTTGGGAGTTGGCAAATGTGTCTGGTATGTGTGACTGTATTACAGTATCCAGTTACTGGCACTGAGAGCCATACACATAGAATTCTATAGCTGCTATATTTATGTAAGAAGCATCTGACAGCTACTGCACTAAACAATAAGGAGATGAGCAGGATTAGACCCTTTTTGTTGTTTCATTTTTCTAGATAAGATGATGCAAGTGAAATATCAAGATAACAAAGGGTGCTGCCATTTTAGGTTAAATTTAATTTCCAAATATCCTTTGTTTTAGTCATGTAGGTTTTGTCTTCTACAGTTTAAAAAAGTGTACCTCAACCTCCTTGGTACTTTCATTGTCTTAATCGTTACCTTTTAACAGGTTTCTGGGAAAAACTATTCTGTGGAAATATCCCTGTTTGTGACCTATTTATTTTTCTTCCTAAAAGAGTTTCTGGTGGAATGTTCTAGGTGTTTTAGAAGGCATTTGATAAAGATTCATCTAGTTTTCCAAGCAAGGTTCTCACATCGACATACATAGTCCCTGCTTAAGCCAAGCACCGGTGGCTCATGCCTGTAATCCTAGCTACTCAAGAGGCTGAGATCTGAGAATCAACAGTTCAAAGCCAGCCCCAGCAGGAAAGTCTGTGAGACTCTTATTTCCAATAAACCACTAGAAAACCAGAAGTGGCACTGTGGCTCAAGCAGTAGAAGGCTTGCCTTGAGCTAAAGAGCTCAGGGACAGCACCCAAGCCCAGAATTCAAGCCCTATGGCCAAAAAAAAAACCCAAAACATAGTCCCTGCTTAGCAAGCACAAGTATATGCATTATAGAGTCTTGAGTTCAAAGCCAGCCTGGACTGGTCCAATTGATCTTAGAGTCTTGGCAGATGCAAAACCTGTTAAGGGAAATAAAAGCTGAGCTGCTGTTGAGTAAAAAGGACTAGCAAAGAAAGGGCGAGCACTTGAAGTACCAGCAATAGATCTTAAATCCAGAACAGACACTTAGCCAACAAATGAGGTGGGTCTTTTCAAAGGCCCATGTGACTTTGCGCAGGGCAGTGACTGGACATGATTAGAGTATTTTGTATTCTTCCTATTTCAAACCTCAATGATAATGTTTTGCTAAGTGTAACTGCTGACTCGCATAATTTTCATTCAGTATCATTAAGCCTGACTAAATATTTGCTTAGCTCATCCTCTTAGGTGTTCTTCTATCTCAGAGAAAGGTCTTGCTTACCAGTGCCTTGTACTTAATTACCATTTATGAATTAGTCAAGTTGCAAAAGGTATTGTTACATCATTATTCTGACATTTTTATGCCACCTTGTTTATCCATTTGAAGTGTTAGTCCTTTTCATTCTTTGTTAAGCTTTGTTTATAGCTTAAAGCACCAATATTAATAGTTAGAGGACTTTATATCAACTGATAACCTTTCTGAGTGGCATATGACCTTGATATAGGGTGTGTCTTTGTTATTTCTATTTCCTTTCCATTGCCCATCACTTTTGTGATTCTAGGCACCAAAAAATAAGCCAAGAATAGATATGTAAAAGTCAATGAAGAAAAGAAAGAGAAATAAACATAGTGGTAAAAGTCTGTAATCCCAGCACATAGGAGACTGAGGCAGGACATTCTTGAGTTCAAAGCCAACCTGGACTAGAAACCTATGTCAAGAAAGAAGCTAGGTGTGATGGTTCATACCTGTAATCCCAGCTACTCAGAAGACAAATATTGGGAGGATCAC